AGAAGATGCTTCTTTCAGAACCCTTTGCCCATTGTCACATCAGTTATTTTTCAGCAAATAAATATGAAAATAAATATGAAGGTGATTTTATGTGTAAAGACCCAGGAGGCCTCCATTTAATTGATCTCTACAGCTTTTGAACTGTATTTTAGGAGTCCACTAGGTACGGCATGTATTAAATATACTCGTTAAAATAAACTCTTGCTTTCCCCAGTGGCCTTATGTGAGTGTGCTTAAGAATATGGGCTGTGAGAGGAAATTTCTTCTGGGAAAAGAAATAGCTCATAGGCAATACAGAGCACAGAGATATTGCAGAGACACAATTTATATTCCCCTTGGAGAACTGCACCTAAATACCTGTCAGTGGTGAATGTGTGGGGTTGACCATGATGTGAATGGACAGCAGTTGCCCATGCTTAGGTCTTTTTGACCCAATTCTTCATTTTCAGGCTCTGATGGCCATCAAAAACCCCTCTGGAGCAGTTACTCCAATTGCAACTGGGGACATGGATCAAAATAAGTTACCATGATGTGGAACAAGGACTATGGTTCCCAGCAAACCCCAGGGAGTATTTCCATCACAGCACCACCCCCATTGATGCAGGTGTCTCCAAACCCAGAGGTTCCTCACCCAGATGTGGGCTGAGGAACAGGTTTTGCCTTGGGCTGATCTTGCTTTTACACCAATAGGAAGAAAAAAAAAAAATAAATCTGTTCTGCAGTTGGACTCTTTCAATACTTCATACAAAAGGATTTAAGTGTAAAAATGGATTTGGAAGGGACAGGTAAGATAATGTTGTCATCAACACAGGAGAAGTTTTCTGCCTGAGCAGACAGCTTCTGCCTAAGGACAGAAACACAGGACACTTTCTGCCCAAACAGGTATTTTATCATTAGAATCTCCCATGGCTTTTAAAAACCAACTCGAAGCAGATTTCAGTTCATCTTATGGCACTTTTAGTAACAGTTCAAGTGCACCAGCAATTCCAGAATACACAGATCTGACACAAACAAGAGATTACTTTTTTCCACACAAAACCTAATTAAAACACGAAACTTGCAGCCACAAGGGACTGTGGAGGCTGAAAGAAACCACGAGCTCAAAACGGAAAAATTCCTGGAGAAAAATGGGTTCCCCTTTTCTGTTCTTTGTTTCGCACCATCTGTAGTGGCCACTGCTAGAAACGTCTTTGGTCCTGATCCACGCCGGTAGCTCTCAGGACAATGTACATCATTGGGGTGATATTGTCACATTTTTATTTTATTCATGGCAAAATGTACTTCACAGACTTGCATCTTATTCATAAATACAGGGAATTCAATATGCTATGTTACCTGTAAGAGTATGGTGGATTAAGTTACATTTCCACTTAAACATATAGATCTTACTGTAATTTGTGATCGGTACCATCACAATTGCCAGGAAAATAACTAAATTAAACAGATACACATAAAAATTTATTTAAAAAACAAATAAGAGCTGTCACCCATTTAAATCCTGTAAATCTCCCTTGACTTACCTTATTGGATCATCCATCAAAATTATACAAAGCTTCTAAGGTCTGTCAATGTTATAGTACAGGTGTGTGCAACTACAGATTATCAGAATTATCCTGGAATAACTCAAGGAGACTTTTAGACTAGGTTACATGAAATATTAACAATGATTATACAAATACCCAAGACATCAGACCGCTGCAATCTCAGAGCCGGAAACGGCAGCTGCCCAAGCCCAGGATCAGCTCTCAAAGGCTTATTGCAAATATTCGTGGCATCCTTCAGGCCCACGCCTTTAAATATGTGCGTTATGGACACCAAGAGCTCAGTCCTGCTCCTTTACACACACATTACTGCTCTTCTCATCCAAATGCTCTGTGGTGCACACCCTGCGCCCGAACTTCCTACACCAACACAGTGCCAGGTACCGAGGCACAGCTACGTCCTGCAGAGCAGGGCACGGAGCTGTACCTCATCTTAAAGTGCTGCACTTCTGAACCATTTCTATGATTGCCTTCACTTGCAAGTGTGCACACATTTTGTCAAGTTGTGCATTTGTATCCCCTCACCGTAAGATACTTAAAATCAAATCCACAGCGGTGTGCACATCCACACCACTCCCCCTTCGCAGTACCAGGGGCTACTCAGATGTACCTGTTAGGAAAAAATCCCTGTATGGGAGGTTCTGGTCAATTAATAGCTCAGATTCTACTAAAACACCAGGCCAAAGCACATTATTGTAGTAATAATACATGGAAATCCCTGAATTATTAAGTGTTCAGTGAGACAAAACCAAGTTTAACAGTGAGCAAACGCCCTGACTCTCTTTGCACACCCTCAGTGTTTGAAGTCATGATTAAATAAGTATGGGCATTTAGGAGAATACAATAACTTCAACAGATATTCTACTGTAAACCTGAAAGCCAATATTTGGAAACTTCAGGCCTGGGGTGCTTCTGGTTGCTAAGGCCTTGATTCTGTAATGACACGTGTGCGGTGTACCCACTTGATCCTCACAGATCTCAATAGGATGCTACGCCGCACCACTGCCCTGCAATGAATCCTTCTCTTAAGCACTTGCAAAGTCAGAAAAACCAACTCCTCCACGAAAAGGATGATAAAAACGGTCACATTTTACAGAGAGCAGAATTTGTTAGTTAAAGCTGAAGCGTCCCGTGGGAGTAATTCTGTTGATAAAGCTATAAGACAAAGATTATGGATTAATCCCTATAGCTCTTTGTGGGCAATTGCTATGCCACGACTCTCCTCAACCCTATGAAAACTGATCGAAGCACAGAGCTGCAGATGTAAAAAATAACTGCAGAGTTAATAAGGACGCGAGTCCCAAAGTTCTTGACTGTATTTTCAGACACGCCGGGCCCTTAACGCAGACAGGCCTGCCAGATTAAAAAGTACATTAAGTACTTAATGACGAGTGGAGAACCACAAGCTTTTATAGGTGGGAGCTGTGTCACGACAAGAGTACCACACTGCTCCCGAGACGCCTTTTGGATGCAAATCCCAAGAGCAAGATTTCTTTTTTCTTTTTGTGCAACGGATAAAAGAGTCAAGATCTCCTGAGGTCATCTACGTTCAACCAAATTACAGTATAAATATAATAACACCTCTAGCATCCCTTATTTCACCGAAACACTATGCATTTTTTTAAAATGTTGACACTAAAGTCCATAAATCGAAGGCTCTGTATAATTCCCTACATTATAGTTATGTTCTTCACACATATACAATTTTCCCTATTCAGGAAATAACTATGGAAAAACAACACTGTTAAGTTGGCATGGTTAGGCACTCAAGATTTAAAAAGTCGTAGGCAGAACGTAACTCTGACCCCCCTGTGTGTACATGGAGGTCAGCATCCATCACTACATGGACCAATTTCATCCCAGCATCTCCTGTCCCCCTCTGTCCCGAAGGTCAGAGGCAAAGGTGAAGAAGGACATCCTATCTCTTCCTGCCTATTTAGGATAGATAGAGCCTCTATGGGTACCAAGATCTCTACCTGCCACCCTCCTGGATCTCAAGAGCCTGGGGAAAGCAATGGATGATGTGCTGCCATGATAGGAATTGGCAAAAATTGCCAGACATTTTGTCTATGCTCTGAAACCCCTGAAGACTTTGTCATTTTAAGACTTGAATGAAGTCCCATGCACTCCAACACTCAAACTGTCGTCAGCTTCTTCTCTCCTAACACTTAATCAAAAATACATGAAAGGCAGTGGATAATATATACATTTTTAAATAGAAAATACAGAAGGTTCAGACTGTTTCAGGACTGTGGAAAGTGTGAGAGCTACTGGCATTATTTTTTAATCCATATTCTACACCATTAAGTTGCTGGGTACTATCTTGTTCGGTGTGAAGTCAGAAGGGGTTATTTAGGGAAAGCAGAGAGTCCTTTGGTAAAGGAAGCTGGGAAATGCCTTAATTGGGAAATTCCTACCTGCTGGGCCCCAGGTTTTGGCCTCTGATCAAAATCACATTAAACTGCGAAAGATTTCTGATGGAGAGCAAAGAGAGGAAACAGGGGGTTCAGCACCACGCAGATCTTACCCAAAACTGGCCAAGAAACACCCCAGTGCCAGCTGGACAGGCCTGGGGATGATTTCTCTGCTGGCTTTGATGATTAAGCAGTGTTTTGTATTGAAAACGCTGCTTTTCAGCTGCCCAGAGGTGCTGAGCCCTGCTGGGGGAGTTATTTTATTAGGGCTGATCAACAGAGAGCTTTCACACTGAGACCACATCTGAGCAACCAAAATCCTCCCAAACTGACAGCAGGAACGAATGAGTCAAGAGAAAAACTTCACAGAGCCTAAAAGAAGCCTAAAGTGCTACTTCCCTTGTACCCAAAAGCCACAGATACAGTTTCACTGTTAAACTTTTATTCATACCCAGCTGCATAGGACATTTTGGTATCCATTACCAAGTGTCTCCGACAAGGGTGCTCATCTAAGGTAAAAGATGCTGTGCAAATACTGCCATGAAACACAAACATAGATCCTAAAAAAAACCAACCCCATTCACTAGGGAAAAACTGTGCTCTCAAAATAATTTCTAATCATTTCATAAAAGGAAATCAACATTTAAAGCACATTAAAAGAAACTTTTAAATTCTGATGTTCCAAGGCTTTCTAGTAAGTTATGTATGTTTTTCCTTTTTAAAATAGTGGATGAATTTAATGGCAAAAAAAAAAAAATAATAGGTAAGTTTTTCAACGCAAACTGCCTGGAAAAGATAATGAGTTTCTAGGCTTTGAACTTACAGGATTGTTTTAAAGAGCCACACCTGGTTGACTGCTGATAAAATGAGGTTAAAAAGAAAATAAAATTAATTAACCTAACAGGAGCCTAATCTGATGCATTCACAACAAGCAAAGTCTCATGAATGTTTTATACTACACTAGATGGAAGTTTCACCCCAAATGAAGGAACAACGAGTAAGTTGCTTCATTCAATATGAAACATAACGATTTTTAACCTCAGGCTCAGGATTTGAGCTCCTCCTTGGGTTTTGTGGTGGCCTCCCCCGAAAGCGCCTCCCGATCGAGGTCATCCTGCAGATCTGCCGCTGCGTTATTTGGGGAATGCTCAGTGTCACACAAATCTCTCTCTGCAGCGCCTGGGTGATTTCCACAGTCAGCGCTCACATTTTCGTCATCTTTTTTGGAATGAGAAGCGTCCTCCTTTCTGTCTGAAGTCTCAGGGATTTCTTCTGATTTGGAAGTATCAGTATCATTGGTTTTTTCACCGCTGCTCTGCCTCACAGCATCGCAGCTCTTTTCATGCTCAACCTGGTCATTTTCTTCCCCATTTTTGGTGAGTTCTACCTTTTTTTCTTCAGCTGTTTTACTTGTCGATGTATTCTTGGGCTCTTTTGGTTTCTTATGCTTAGAAATATAACTGTTGTGAATAGAAATTGGGGACGCTGGCTTTTTATTTGCTTTGCCTCCCTCCGACTTCTGTTTTCTTGGGGGTCCCCAGATAAAATGCTCCGAGGGCGTGTAATGTTGCTGGGCAAACCTCAGGAGTTTCCTCCTTTCTCGTCGGTCTCTAATGGTATACACAAAATATTCCAGGGCGCTTTGCTTAATGTTGGGGATGGTGTCTTCCACAAGAGCTTCGTGGAGAATAAACTTCACCAGGGGAGATTTGAAGCTCTCGTACCCAAGCTCGCCGAGACTCTTCAAAATTCGAGTGATTCTCAAATAGTTGTGTTGAGACCTTTGGAAGAAGAAGGGGGAAAAAAACGCCACTGAATCAGAAAAACACCACCTCACAGGTACAGAACTGAGAACTGGAACCGCAATTCCTCCCCCAGTTTTATCACTCCAGGTGCGTGCTTCAGGATCCCTGCACTTTAATTTCTCACAGCTGCTGAAGCTTGCTCCCACCTCCTTGGCTAGGATGTTGTGAGTGAAAATTAGTGTCTGTGAACCGCACTGAGACAACAGGATGAAAAAAAAAACCCATAAAACAAAAGTGTGTGCTGATTCTGACTCCTTTTGCTGTACATATTTCGAGGAGAAAACCCGGTCGCTTCGTAAAATACAGATTTTGTAGTGCAGTGCAATAATACAGCTACAAAACAGGATTCACTGCACTTTGTTTAAGCTGGGTTTCCAGTCTGGACCAGTTACCTGCCCCTCTGATCCAGTCAGTGCTGGGAGAAACACAGGCACCTCTGCAAGTGCTTGTAAGGAGCTTTCTCCCTCATAAAGCACACCGAAGTAAACAGTGAAACTTAAATGCTTACATTACAGACAGTTAAAATCAGGTAAAAATAGTCCCAATTAAAACTGTGTAGCAACTCTTTGGTGTGAATATAGGAATTACAGTGTAAAAATGTGCAGTGAGTAACATATGGGCTTCCTGAAACTTTATCTGTGGCCTGAGTCTGAGCTCACACCCATACTGGCTTACATAAAATTAAAATCAAATTATTCCCATTATTCACTCAAAATTATCCATCAGCAACTCTACTTACAAGCTTTCATCTGAACACAGGAACAAAATACTGCAAGAAAGCAATCTTCAGCTCTAAGGTCGGAGGTATTAGAAAAGCGATCACCAGATTTGGAAAGGGATTTTGATACAATTAACCCACGAGACAAAATTCAGTGCAAACTTACGCTCCACACAATGCCAATAAAAAGCAATAAATGTATTTTGATGAAAATTGGGCTAAAGTTTGACTTAATGGATGTCTAAACCTCTGCAGTTAAGCATTGCAATTAAAAACTATTAAATACATAGTACATAAAAAGGGGAAGGAAGAACGTAGACATACAGACACAAACGAGGCATTAACTATTTAATTTTCTCTTATTTCCTGCAATCTTTGGAAAATATATCTCTATCTTTCCTTAAAAAACAAAAGGCTAAAGAGATTCTGGGGCAGTTCTAGAGAGGGGAGTGCGCGCCATTACTTACTCATTCAAATGCTGAAATCTCTCCTGCCAGTTCGCAGCTCGCGCTACGTTTCCCGTTTTATCAATTAGTTTGATTCCAAAAAACTCCAGCATCATTTTGTAAGCCAAGAGGAATCTTCTAATTGCTTCTTTTGTCTTCTTGAATTCCTAACAAACAAGGAACACGTCCAAAACTCTAAGTGGCACTAAAGCAAGCACTTCTGCACTGCATAAAACAACTGCTTTTTGTAACGTAGAGTTATGCATCAACATTAATGCGACGGTTTGTACTGAGCTCAATTTGTATTACCTCAATTTCATATGTAGTTAATTCTTTAGCATAGAAGTTCAGACCTTGTTCCCTCAGTGGGAAAAGCCTGTTACAAGAAAAAGCGCATTACGGCTCACAGTATATGAACACTTCATCAAATTAATGCTTTGAAACAGAAATAGGTAATAAGTGACCAACCACTGGATGTACGTGTGGTTATGTTCCAGCTTTTCATAGTCTCCTTTCCATTTATTTAGGACTTCTTCAATATAAACCCCTGCAGAAAAATAATTTGAAAACTGTTAGGTGGCCATCCAAAGCTGTGTTCAGCTACATCAAGTACATGCCATGTTAACATAACGATAGAACGCACACTTTAATTATTTTTCACATGCTATATGAAATTAGGTCTATTACAGCCATAAATAAATTCATTCTAATTTAAAATTAATTCTGCTACTGAAACTTAATTAGAAATGAGACTTCATCAAATGTCAGTATAAACAAAATCAACTGACTTATGCTGGGTTACTTACCAGCAGAGGGGATGTGACAATAACCTCTGTAAAATATACTTCCCCAAAAGTTCTCATGTCCCGGGATCCCTTTATCACACTGACTGGTAATTAACAAATCACTTAAATAAAGTATTGCACCGTGAGTCACTTGTCACTGCTTTAACATGACAAAACTCTTTATATATACATATACATATATGTATATGTATGTATATATGTATATATGCGTGTGTGTATATATATATACATATACACATATCTATGTATACATGTGTGTATAAATATACATATATGTGTGTGTATATATATGTATGTGTGTATATATATGTATGTGTGTATATATATATAAAATCTTAGTAGAACAAAGCTTCAACACCTTAATAAACCTCCCATTCCAGGAATAATCTCTCCAGCTGTAAATAACATTATGATTGGGAACTCTTTCTCAATTACTTATGGCCAAGAGTCTTGCTGCCATTGCTATGGATTTGACCGTGGGTTCTCAGGTCATGCTAAACAAATGAGAATTTTGGCTTTTAGTGGTCTTGATACCATGGTGGAGTTCAGTCGGTTCCTCTTGGACAGACACAGTGATGGAAAAAGGGGATAAAGTACACCTAAAAGGAAATTAATCATTCTTTGCACTGAAACTGTGCTCGTGAAATTCAGCCACGGGCCAGGGCACTTGTCCAGGCACTGCACAAACACACGAAGCACATAAAAGGATGTTCCATGTCCCAAAACCTGCACAGTCTCTTTCCATGAATGAACGCTCAGTGATAGCCTGTTCCTGCTCTGAAACCAACAATTTACCACTGCCACACGGCCTCTCCCAAAGTCAAACAGCAGAAAAGCCCAAAGCCCCTACCATATGTTTGAGATATCTCTCTTCCCCCCAGTGAAAATTTACACTTGGGTCTCAATGACAAAGGAGAACTAATGTACTTTTCATCATAAATGCAGAAAGCAGCCACCAAAGGGGCTGTGGAGAATATGGGGCTTCCAGGCCAGGCAAGGCTGGAAAAGGACCTCGTGAAGAGGACCTCGTGCCATCACCCCGCTGTATCCAGCCTACATTGGGAGAGACAGACAGGCCAGCCCCGAGTCAGAACCACAAGCTAAATGTGTAGGTCATGGAATTAAACTCGAGATCTAGTGTTGCGTTAGAAAATGTCTTTTTAAAATATTCCCCAATAGTTCAGCCCCTAACAACGCAGCTTCGGCTCCTTCTGGACATTCTCACAGACTCACACACTGGTTTTTTTTTTTTCCCATCCTCAATAAAAACTTCTCCATAATCAAAGCTCACAGCCATCAACACTTTGGCCTCCATAGCCTGTCAGCTACCTTCAACCCTATTAACTGTGCTTTTCCCCTAAAATATTAAGAGAAACTTTATTCTTTACAAATTTTAGGAGGGAAGCCCTCTTCTAGCTTTCATGACTATCTCCTATGCTAATCGTCTTGAATTTCTCCTTCATTTTGCACTTTAAAAGATCCTCCCCCAACCTTTTCTGGGTTTAAATATCAGGTTCATGTGATCCTTAAGTACACAGGGATTTCAGAGCCCTTCTCTTTCTTTCCATATCTGTTCTGCCTCATGAATTTGATGCCTCTGTACTGGTAATTCACAGACCTAACTCTTCTTCCATTGAAAAAGACAGCATCTGCCTGTGGATACACAGATAAAGCTCAAGATAATGAAAACAAAGGTCTTATCTATCTGACTTGTTTTCTCACTTGCTGAGGATATTATCACTATCTTGCCTACAAACAGCTCTCACCTTCAACTTTCCTATATGCACATCCTTCTGTGTAACATTCCTTCCCATGCAGCTTCCCATCAGAACTTTGCCATTTTGCATCTCAACATCCTTTTTCCTGACCTGGGAAAGTGCCCTCTTGTCGTGCTTACAACTACCCTGAATGCTGCTGCCAAGATCATGATCCTAAACCTGCCTTTTTTATATTGTCTCTTTTTGCTTTGCATTCTTCCACTGTGAAGCCCTTTTCTGGAACATCAAACAAACCTATACTCTTTCACTTCCAAAGCCTTCTGTAACCGGTTCCTTCCTACCTTGTCAGGACCCAATTGTTGTATCAGAACCCACAGGACCCTGCCTGCAAGTCCCATTTCTTTTGTGCTCCAACGTGCACTTCAGTATCTCACCCTAAGCTGTTCTCATGCTAAGAGGATCTTCCTGCAAACACCTTCAAAGTTACCTCCTCATCATTTCTTTAAAGCTCTCAAGAGCTTATTTTGGCCTGAATTTTTATGTTTTGCCAATGGCAAAGCTCTCACATGCCAAGACTCCTGTCCATCATTCTCACCAAGGCTGCTTTCTTGCCTCCTCCTGCTGCCCTCTGGTCTCTCATGCTTTGACTGCAAACTCTAGAGGGTTTGTTGTCTTTCAGCTCCTCCTGTGTTTGTGCAGAACCCTGCATAGGCAGTTCCTGCTCCGCTATCAGAATCACTAAGGCCTTTGAGAAATGATTTTATTATTATAATAATCTCCCATGAGGTAGTTACATCCTTTTTCCCTTACATGGTGCTAGGGATCACACAATTGCAATGGATGGAAAAGACCTTTAAAATCATCAGGTCCAACCATTATCTAACTCTACCATGCCCACTTCTACACCACGTCCCTGAGCACCATATCCAGACGGCTTTTAAATACATCCAAGGATGGGGATTCCACCACTTCTCAGACTTTGATGACCCTTCCAGTGTGGAAGTTTTTCCTAATGAGGAAACACCCCGTTATTAATCTTTATCAATGACCTGGATGAGGGGATTG